ATTAAAATTTAATGAATTGTGTTTAAATTGTGGAAGGGTAAGAATTAGAATAAAAGCACTCTCAGATTGGCCTGCTTAGAGAAGGCTTTCTGTAAAATGAAAGTGTTGGGGTATTTGGAGAAAGTAATGGACAGAGAGGGGAGAACGGTGATAGCCTGCATGGGTTGGCTGACATGAACAGAGACAGGCAGGAATGGCAGCTATTTAATATGTGATGTATTGAGAAGGGATTTGGTTGCAAATGGCATAAACCAACTAGTTCAATTGAGAGGAAAAAGAATGTGTTAGAATCAACAAGAAACCTGAAAAATAAGGGATGGGAACCAAGGGAGGTAAGGTAGCCAAGATGCCATGACTCATCTGTTTGTATATGCCACTTGTGGTAACATCAACACTGGACACTGACACTTGTGTCTGTACTTGTGAGTGGCACCATTGCTGGACACTTCCCAGTGAACTGTCTTTACTTTTGGCAGCCTCTGGGAGTAGGCTTTCACTGATCTGCCTCGAGAGCTCCAAACATAGGAAAGTTGTTTGGCTGCTGGTAAACAACACGGCAAATACCCGTTAAATGTTATTCCTTAATTGAGATAAGGTAGAGTGGACAATGAGAGGAAACATTAGTCAGGTGATTGGTAACTAGAAAAGCAGGCCAGAGGACTAACTGAATTTTTTTTTAGTAGTGAACTGACCTAGTAAAGACAGACATTACCATGGCAGATGTTTTTGAAATAGACGGGTGTGTGAACAGGTATTTCACAGAGAACTCTGCACTGTAGTTTGGGCATAGTATGGTAAAAATCAAACAATAACCATAGAGATAGAAAATAGTTGCACATGATTAGAGAATCAGCAGCATTCAGGATCAGGAAGTCAAAGGAGAAAGAAGATGTTTTACATTTCCCAGTATCACAACCTTTATGTAGTCAATTTTAAGTGACAAGAGTAGCAGTTGTTGTTGAAGGACTGGGGCGGTAACTCAAGTGGGCCCTTGAGTTCACACTGAGGTATGGCCTGAGGTCTACAAGAACAATTTGGTTGGATGTGGTGGTGCACAGCTGTAATTCCAGCTACTCCAGAGGCACAGGCAGGAGAATCAAGAGTTTGAGCCAGCCCAGCAAAAGTACTACTAAGAGCCTGGCTCAAAAACCAAAAGAGGGCTGGTAGAGTGGTTCAAATGGTGAAAGCCCTGAGTTCAAACCTCAGGATTGCAAAAAAACAAAACAAAAAAAAGTACCGATACTTGCCTAGCATGTATAAGGCCCTAGGTTCAATCCCCAGCACCACAAAAAGAAAGGTATATTCAATATTCTATATAAAAATCTTCAAGGTGACTCATTTGCTGTAAGTAGACTGGTACAATAAAAAATATTTTGGGGGATATAGAATAAAGTTGACTACTAAAACTGAAATACTTTTAATTGCTGTCAGAAAACTAGGATGTATATTATAGAAGTTACACTTCAGGAACTGTTTTAATGCAATTAGTGTAGAGGAAAAGTATCACTTTAGGGGCGGGAAGTGTGGCTCAAGTGGTAGAGTGCTTGCCTACAAGCACAAAACCCTGAATTCAAACCCCAGTACCGCCAAAAAAAAAAGCATCTAAGATTATTCTGAGGAGCTTTCAAATGGAGAATTGAAAGGTCCCTTTATTTTTTAATAGACTTGATACAATGGTATGTGAATATTAATGCTGATTAAGCCTGTAGCAGCATCAGTAATTGAAGCTAAGAGCCACAATTCCAAATCCTTTTAAATTAGTGCTTCTCCTTTATTATGAGAGTGTGGCAGCCGAAGGGGAGTGGCTGCTTGGAATCAGGCTGTTGTAAAAGGTCCGAACCTCAGGGATCATGCAAGCAACACATGAATAAAGAAATTAAATTTGATGTATTCAGATTTGTTCAGTAACTTCTCATTGGGATGGCCAAAGCACAAGCTCTGCTTTGCTTTAATTTCACTCTATTTATGAAGCTTTCTTCCTCTTTTTTTTTTTTTTTTTCTTTCAGTTTGGGGATTGAACACCGAGCCTCATATATGCTATGCAAGTGCTATACCTCTGAGCTACATCCCAGCCCTTTCATTTTTTATTTGGAAACATGGCAGTTTCTCAGGCTATCCTCTCAAACTTGGGTTTCCTCAGCCTCCAGAGGAGCTGGTATTATAGATGTGACCACTGCACTCAGCTTATTACGCTTTTTAATTCATGTCTCTCAAATCCATCCTCACTATTGATCTTAAACAGTTTATCTAGATTAATATGTATACTAGTATGCTAATATAGCTTCATTTCCACATGTTTGATAGCCTCCATTCTAATCTCCGTGCTCCTCGAACGTTCTCTTAAAATCACTAGAATTTTCTGAAGGCTTAAAAAGCTTTCACATGACTTTCACAAGAAAGTTCTTAATCCTTAGCATGCTTTACAAGACACTTTACCATCTGGGCTCTCAGAATCCTTTAGTTCAATTCTTGAGAAAAATAAAGGTACAAAAAAAAAATAAAAATAACCACGTACAACCACCTAAAGATGATCACGATGTAACAGTTTCCCTCTAACTTTCTGTGTAGGTCAGCTAGCTTCGTACTCCCTGCATAGCCCAAGCTGGCCTCTTGATCTCCTCCCAGGTACTGGGATTACAGCAAATTGATGATTACTTGCCTGGCTTTCTCTAAAGTTATTGTGGCATACATTTTTTTTATGCAAAATTGGGAATGAATTTGATAAGCAATAATGTAGTTTTTCCTCATTTAATCTTAAATGAGGACATAATAATATGTCTATGTGAAGTAGTGCTTGCAACAATGATTTTTTGAATGTCTAACTTTTCTGGGCAGGTGTTTATCACTTTGAGCCATGCTCCCCCCCCCAGCCCTACAATGTATAACATTTCTTCATAAATTTTGATAGAACTTAATTTTGAAACTACTCCCTGTTTATTAAATAGGTAGGTAATGTTAGCTACTCAGTAAATATTCAATCTAACTTTTGTTCCATATCCTGTTTCCTAAGGCTAGATCACCAGCCAAAAGTGTGGATATTGTTTTTACATGTATTTCTCTAATAAGGTTTAGTATGTTGTATGTGAATGTCATTTGTGTCTTGGGGTTTTTCTTTGAAAAGATCCAATTTAATAGAAAATATGGCTGGGGACAAGAATTGGTCAGACAAAACAGTCAAATAAGGGGTTGGCAGAGTAGCTCAAGTGGTAGAGTGCCTGCCTAGCAAGTGTAAGGCCCTGAGTTCAAACCCCAGTACCTCAGAGGGAAAAAAGACTGGTAGATTTATATTGATAAAATGTTAACTATGATACTATTAACGAATTTATAGGCCTTATCCAGATTTTGTCAGTTTTAGGTTCTTTTGGTCTTTGGGATTTAGTTGTTTTTACTTAGTTCCTTCCAGTGTGATAATTGGCAGGGTTGGGTTTTTGTTTGTTTGTTGGTGGAGGATGTCTTTTCTGCCTTGGAAACTTTTGAAAAGTACTAGCCAGTTACTTCGTAGAATGTTCTTTTATTTGGATTTGTAGAATATTTTCTCATTATTGGATTGAGGTTATATATTTGGTTCCTCCACTGTAGCTTATTGTACCAAGTTATTCACTAAATACATATTGTTCCATGTGAAATAGAATTCAGATGATTTTTAAAGAGTAAATCTTTGTTTTTTTGTTTTCTGTGGTGTTGGGGATCACACTCAGACTCGCACGTGCTAGGCAAGCTGTGTACTACTGAGCCACATCCCAGCCTGAGTAAACCTTTGGATTTGTTGCCACCCACTAGTTATCAAAAGAGCCAAGAGAAATGAAGGAATTTTGTGAAGCATTTTCTTTCTATTTCTAAGATACGATGAACTCTATTTCTAGGCAAGTGTTGTGGTATGTGAACCAGATAATGTAATTTTAAATACTTTAGTAGCCACATGAAAAAAAATAGGAACAGGTAAAATTAATTAATTATAGTAATACATTTTACATAATTCAATATATCCAAACCTTATGTAAAGTATCATTTCAATATGTAACCAACATAGAAAATATTAATATATAGATACCCTTTTTTTGGGTACTAAGTCTTCAAATGTAACACATTTCAGTTTGGACTTGCTATATTTCAACTGCCCAGTAACACTCATCAAGATTAAGAAGTACAAAAATATGGCTGGGGTGTGGCTCAAGTAGTAGAGGGCTGCCTAGCAAGTGTAAGGCCCTGAACTCAAACCCCAGTATGAGGAGTGAGAGAGAGAGAACTAAAACATATGCTTAAAGTTTTGGGAAAGGGCATATTTTTAATTTGAGACTAGAAATCTTAGAACACCTGTATTATTAATTCAGCTGTTACTAAGCCTTCTTATGGTATATGGTAAAGCAACTCTTTGAACTTGCCCATGCAAGGTGTTTTCAAGATCTACTGAGTTGCCTGAAATGTTGGTGCTTGGATACATCTGCCCCCACCAGAAAAAAACAAAAGCATGGTAATAACAAAAGCAAAAATATTGATTGTTAAAAATCAAGGAACTCAGCTGGGTGCGATGGCACACACCAGACATTTTAGCTATAGAAGTGGGAAAAGGAAAGAAGGGAGGGAGGGGAACAAAGGGGGAAGGGAGTGATGTAGGGAGAGGGGAAGGGAGTATTGGAGGGAGGGAGGGAGTGAAGGGAGGAAGGGGAGGAAGGAAGGAAGGGAGGGAGGAAGGAAGGAAGGAAGAAAGGAACTTGATTTTGGTTATATTATTCATGTTGGGTTTTGTTAATTATAACTCAATGTGACAAACTGGTACCTCTAAAGGGATTACACTTTAAATCTTAAGTGCCTTTTGTTACAAAGGAGATGAATAAAAGTGTCTTGAATTTATTCTTAGCTTAGAAGAGGAAATATAAATAGATGCTCTTTTTTTCTTTTTCTTACTCAAGAAAAAGAATGTTTTATTTCTGTACTGTGTAGAGACTAATTACAACAGATAAGCATCACAATCCATTGCCTCTTACTGTTCTCTTTAAAAGTCAAGTCCATCGTCACCAGAACCAGCTAGTCTTCCTGCAGAAGATATTAGCGCAAACTCCAATGGTCCAAAACCTGTACAAGTTGTGCTAGATGACGACAGAGAAGATCTTTTTGCAGGTAATTGTCATATCTTTGTTTTTTAAATAATGGCTAGTTAAAAAATATCTATTCCATTACAAAATAATCACTAAAGCAAAACTGAAATTCTGTCTTAGTTGTAGCTCTCTTTTAACACTTAGAAAGATGAGGAATTTCCAGTTTGATCATCTTGTGAAAAATGCAGAGTGTTATGAGAAGCAAAAAAATTGTGGTCCTGTCTGTTTTTTCAGTATTTGAAAATAAATTACTTGTTATAATTTGTTTGCTTTGGTTATGGCATTCATACCTTGGAAAATAGCAGTGATTGTATTTTTTTTATTACTTACAAGTTGTCACAAAGCAAAATTAAACTATGAAATTAAAAATGACTTCATTTTATTTATGTTTGGAATCTGATTATTTTAATACACTACCTCTTTCATTTTGATTCACTTTTAGTTGAGTAAATTGATACTCAAGGAATTTATTATGGATGTGGAGGCAGGGCTTAGAGTAGTCCATCCTAACTTTAAAAACAATTGACTCTCTTCAAAACAACTAAGCTTTAAGGCTAAAATTTAGGTACAAATTAATGTTTTAATATTGAAGAGCAAAATATTTCTTATAGTTATTGACACAAAAAAATTAAAATAGTAAATCTTTCTGTGTTTAATAATTTACTTGAACTGGCTTTCATTAAGTTAAACTTTAATACATATTCAACTCTTGTTCAGTAATTCAAACCATTCTATCATCTTGTGCAAATAAGTTTGAACGTATCACAAAAATCCATATAATCCATATAATTTCCGACTTGATTAATTTCGTGAAAAGTTTTCACCACTGATGAAGTTATGGGGGTTTTATCTTGTTTGTTTTTCTTTCTTTGAGATTTCGTTTTGTTGTTTTGGTTTGGTTTTTGGTTTTTTGACACAGGAGCTTGCTGTGTAGCCTGGGTTGGCCTTGAATTCGTGATCCTCCTATCTCCGCCTCCCAAGTGCTGGGTTCACAGGTATGTGACCATCCTGCCCCGCTGAATTCATGCACTTTATGATGTCAGAAAATTAAAAGACAATGACACCAAAAGTCAATTGGTTTTCTTTTTTTTTTCCTTAAGTCGTCTAACAACTTACAGTCAGAATCACAGATAACCAAAAGTTATAGTATTTTGTTCTTTTTTGTTATGTTTTGTGGAATTTTTTCTAGGCAGTTGCCAAAAGTACTTTCGTGGCATTTGTGTTCTAAGCTAAAGATGACAAAAGACCTTTCTCTACTAAGGAAATAATAATCTAAACTTGTGTGCGTTCCCATTGACACAGTGTAGGCTCATGTGTAAAGGTTTTGTATTATCCATTTTATTAAAAACTCTTCAGCTATACAGTGTCAGAATTTTCTTATTTTTAAATTTTGGGGGATGGTACTGGTTGAACTCAGGACTTTGTGCATGCTAGGCAGTTACTCTATCACTTGAGCCACGCCAACAGCACTCTCAAATGTACATGATAAGGATGCTGAAATTTTACTCTTAACAACTGTGTGAGAGCATGTTCAGGAAAAAGACTTCTTGTTGTTTCACAGTGTGCGCAGATCAAACTTGGTAAGTAAGGTTTATACAGTGGTTTTTACCCACGTAGTTTATTAAGAAACCTTCGATATTTTAGTCTGTCTAGAAGACTGGTGTGAGTGAAGTATACTCATTGTCAGTATTTGTTTTAAAAAGGAGAAATGAGGACTAAAGAAAATAAGCATTGTCATCTGTTTCCTGTAGTAACCTACAAGTAAAACTGCTTTTTTTTCTTTATTAGGGCATTATAGTTGTGAGGAGAGTACATTGTGACATTTATAAAAGTACTGACAATGTATCTTAGATTAATCTTGCTCCATCCTGCTTCATCCTGCTGCCTCACCTTCCCAGAAAAATTTCAACAGGTCTCATTGTTCCACCTTCACACATGAATACCCAATACTTCCACCATATTTGCTACCCTTTTCTTATGCCTTCCCCTTTCCCTCTGGTACCAATCCCTGGACAGGACCTATTTTACCTTTCTGTCTTTCATTTTTTTAAAAATGCATTTTTGTTTGTTTATGATGGTCACAGGGTGTTTCATTGTGACATTTCCATATATGTATGTATTATACCCCGAATTGTTTCATCCCTCTGTTTTTCTCCTTTTTACTTTAGTCATCTTACGATGATTTCAACAGGTTTGAGTGTTCCATATTCATACTTGTATAGAAAGTACATAACCATAGTCACCTTTTTTACTTTCTTCATTAAAACCACTTTTTATGCATGCATTGTCTTTTTTGTTAAACTCAGCTGTATTTCATAATGTTATCAGTAGCTAATCTAAGTCATAATCTGATCATTTTTATGAATGATTTATACTACACATGATTCTTATTTATAATGAATTTAAGCCTTATGGAGGAAGATATTTCTAGGGAAGCATAATTGAGCATAATATATGCTATGAGGACAGTGCAAACTTGTCCAGCAGTGAGAACACATTCTTATTTATCTTGTGTCAGTGCATATCGTATAGATGCTGATCTGTACCTAGTCATTTTGGTTTTAAAAGCATAAAGAGCTGGAGGCGAGATTCAAGTGATAGAACACTTGCCTGTCAAGCATGAGGCCTTGAGCTTAATCCCTGGTACTGCCAAAATAAAACCATATAAAAATTCCATTATGTCTCTATGTGTACTGGTGTGCTTTAGGTAGCATTTCAAGTAGTATATGTCAGAAGCAATACCAGAAAAAGTTAATTGACGTATATTCCAGTTATTAGTTGATTTACAGAATGTTCACCAAATAGTTAACAACATTACCCTGCTCCACCCTTTATTAGATCTTAAAGAATGCTTTCACGTTGACATAACCAATTTATATTGGTCCTTAACATATGTCTCTAAGGAAAAGTTAATCTTTGTGGTTAATACCTATAGGGCATCTTCCTGAACCTTTAGGTCTGGTTTAAATTATATTCTTTGAATTTGTAGTATTTTAGTTTACTTAAGCTAAAAGTCATGAAAGCAGTTTAAGGCCAGACTATCAATTACTGGGCTGAATCTAAATCTTTTATCCATTTATTTTGTTTCCCATTCCATGTTAGTTACTTTGATCATATTTAGCCTTATTTATTTTGATATCTCTTAGCATTTACAAAGCAGCCTATTAGTGCAAAGAACACAAACCTGGCATTAGTGAAGTACAATGTAATTGAAAATTTAAAATGACTTTATACTGATATCTCAGTAAAATTACTCTTTTCATATTTTGTCATTTTTGTCTATGGGTCCGTTGCAGTAACAGTGCCCCTTCAGAGATTGGGAGGGCGGTGTTGAAGATTTTAGGGGGTTATTTTGCTGTGTGTTGTCACGCTTGCTGCCTTGCCTATTATTTGTAGACTTTATAGCTTTGAGATAGTGCTCCTTTGCTTTCTCATACTGCTCATTGTTTTCATTTCTTTAATAGAAAAAAAGAAATACCAAGCCGTTTTCTTTTTTCTGGTTACCATAATTTGAAAGATTTTAATTATACACCTATAATCTCAGCAGCTCTGGAGTAGAACATAGGAGGATCTTGAGTTTGAGTCCAGACCAGGCAAAGTTAGCAAGACCCTGTCTCTAAAACAAAAAACATCAGATGATTTGAATTAAAAAGCTGATGTCCAGCAAGGTATGACAATAGCATGTTAGAATTCTGATGGCAGTAGAAAAAATAAATAAAAACCAAAGGGCTAGGGGCATAGTTCAGATGGTGAATCAGTTGTCTAACATGGCAAGTAGTGGTACTACGTTCAATCCCCAGTAAACCCCCCCAAAAAAAAAAGATTTTTAGCTATTAATAATTTTCCTTTAATATAAAATATAAAGAGATCCATGCTAAGAATCTTATCAACACTAAATAGCCAGTAAGAATGCTTTGCCAACATGTCAGCCTGTACAGCCTTTTTTCAGATAATGTGTTGCTGCTGCAGTTACCTCTGTACTTTTTGAAGTATTAAGATGAAAGTGAGCTGGGCACCAGTGGCTCAGCCCATAATCCTAGATGCTCATGAAGTAGAGATCTGTAGGATCATGGTTGGAAGCCAGCCCAGGCAAATAGTTCTTGAGACCTATCTCGGAAAACCCTTCACAAAAATGGCTTGCAGAGTGGCTCAAGGTGAAGACCTTCAGTTCTAGGCCCAGAACTGCCCACCCCCCCCCCAAAAAAAAAAAAAGATTAAAGTGACTCAGCTGGGCTCAGCTGGGCTCAGCTGGGTGTTGGTGACTCACACCTGTAATCCTAGCTACTTGGGAGGCACAGATCAGAGGATCAAGGCTCAAAGCCAACCCAGGTTAAAAAAAAAAAAAGCAAAACCCTGTCTCAAAATTACTCAACACAAAAAAGGACTGGCAGAACGGCTCAAGTGGTAGACCACCTGCATAGCAAGCATGAGGCCCTGAGTTCAAACCTCCATACCACCTAAAAAACAAATGAAGTGATTACATGGCTTACTACCTCCCAAACCTCAAGGAATTTGAGAACTCAGGTTAGAAACCATCAGTGTTATGCTCACTGATAGTAATGTTTACTTTCCTTGCTCTGAATTTTGCTTATGCTAGTATTCCATTTTCAGGGATTTTCCCCTATTCTCTACCTGTTTAAGCTTTCTCAGATCAGTTTCACAAGCTGTTTCTCCAGCCTAAACTATTATCTCCTGTGTCTACTCAAATTAAAGTGTTCATAAAGTAATTGTCTTGTGTAACATTCTTTTTATTGTTCTTTTAAGTCTTTTATTGCTACTTAACATTCCACATGTCTTGTTTTCTCAACTAGATTATAAACTCCCTGAGGGCAGGTATGATATTTTCCATTTCTTTGTGTTTCTCCATTGTGTTTAGCACAGTATTACCTAGCCTATAGATATTCAGTTTATCAATGGATATGGTTTGATTTTAATTATGTTTAATTTTAGATTTTTCAAGTGAATGAGCATTTTAAATTAAAACCTAAGCACCCATTTGCTTTGTGTCATATTTGTATATTCAACTAATACCCAGTAATCTTGGGCAGTTAATTGCTTTAGATTACTAACTTTGTGACTTTAACAAATTTTTATTCCTATTTGGGATGGTTCTGGGCAGCTTCCTGCCATAAAATTTGTGTTCATATGTATAAAATAATCAATGTTAGCCTGAAAAAATAGTTGAAAGGTAAGTTACCCTGAGCATAAGATCCATGTCCTTGCTCCTCTCCGGGTCCAGAGAACTTCAGTAATGCAGATAATTAATAGGATTTAACATGACTCTGCCCCCAAGCCAACGAAGTTTCTATTTGTTTTAAAGTTTTATTAACAACTAAAGGGTTCATAAAATTCTTTAGTAATAATTTTTAAGGTACTTTATTTTGATACTTACTTCTGGGTACTATAAAATTTTCATACTTCTATAACTGCCATATAGACTATTAAGAGCTGGTTGCAATTTCTTTAATTAACTTATTTAATTTGTGTCTAGAAGCCACAGAAGAAGTTTCTTTGGATAGCCCAGAAAGGGAGCCCATCCTTTCCTCAGAACCTTCTCCTGCAGTCACACCTGTCACCCCTACTGCACTCATTGCTCCTAGAATGGAATCCAAGAGTCTGTCAGCTCCTGTGATTTTCGATAGATCCCGGGAAGAGGTAAGGGAAAATGTGTATATTCTAAATTAATGTGTAACAGGAACATGTTTTGTTCCCTACTCAATGTCACAGTCCTATTAGTTGTTCCTAATCAAAAGACATTGTAGGAAAAGAGAATTGGACTTCAGAAGTTGGGAGGTTTCACTTGTGATTTTCATTCTTATCCCAACCCAATGACCTGAGCATACCCCTTCCTTTTTTAAATTGGGAATTTTGTTATTTGTGATCTTGTATTGATCAGGTAATGGAGGATTTGAAAACTCTTAATAACAGTAAAGTATTTTGAGTAATTTTATTTTATAAAAGCATGTAATTACTGCTGTTGATACTTAAAGGTTGCTTGCTAATGTTTGTTTATTTTTATTTCTGCAATGCTGAGGATTGAACTTGGGGCCTTATACATGTTGGGCAAGTGCTCTACCACTGTCCCAAGTCCCCAGCTCATGTTTAGCCTTCATTTTTAAAAGGAAGGGCTATAGATCAGCTGAAGATATGTTCTCATAATTTAGCAGTATTTTTTTTTTAATTTATAAAGGATAGAAGTTTACTTTGGAGGTGGCAATAACTATTTTGGAATACTGGGGGTTGAACTCAGAACCTCATGCTTGCTAGACAGACACTCTATCATTTTAACCACACCCCCGAATAATTTTTAATAAGGTGCATTTGGAGAAGAAAAAATCATGTTATAGAGGTTATTTTAAATGGAAAAATCTGTATTTTAAAAGTCATTCATACAAAATATATCATTTAAATAATGACTACATACACAAGCATGACTAATGTTATAAACACAATATTAAGGAAAAGAAGCAAGATGTGAGTACTTACTATATGATTCCATGATAAAAATCTTAGAAACAGATAAAACTAGTGAACAGTGCTAGAAGTCAGCAGAGTGTTTATGTGGGCAGGGTGAAGAATAGATTTTGCCTGGAGGGGAAGCATTAGAGAGTCTTCTGGGATAACTGAAAGTGTTTATTTCTGTTTTGGGTTCTGGGTAGGAAGATGTGTTCACTTCGTGAAAATGTGTTGAGCTGTACACTTACAATTCATACACTTTTCTATATGTATATTGTGATTCAAAAAGATTCACTTTAAAAAATGTCTGTATAAGCAGGCAACCTTAACAGTGGTGCATGCCTGTAATCCCAGTGCTTAAGGCTGAGGCAGGAGGATCAGGAGTTCAAGACCAGCCTGGGCTATACAATGTGAGACCGTGTCTCAAAGAAAGAAAGAAAAATTGAGGACTTCAGCATTTTTCCACATCTGAGAAGTAAAGAACACTTTCTGTTACTTGTCCAAATGATCCTTATTTGTAATGTTTTGCTTCATTTTATTTACATAGTCAGCAAATGTGAAAGCTTTTATTGTTTTTCAGTATTAAGTGGCTTTTTGTATTAATTATTATGACAGTGACCCTAATAGAACATAGATGGTAGAATTAGTTATTAGTGTTATGACAATAATGTAAATTGGAACCTTTTTAATACCAAAATTAATTATACTATTCTAGATTGAAGAAGAAGCAAATGGAGATATTTTTGATATAGAAATTGGTGTGTCAGATCCAGAGAAAGTTGGTAAGTCATTATTATATTTCATACTTCTTTTTGACCAGTTTCACCTGTTATATCCTATTTTTCCCCATTAAGTACATAATTACAAGTATTAAAATAGTACTTTATTCTTAGGCAGATTTTTATTTGTTTTTATGGTTCTGGGGACCAAACCCAGGGCCTTGCACATGCTGAACAAAGCCTTCTATCAGTGAGCTAAATCCCCAGCCAACGATATGGTTTCTAATAATAGTGTTTAACTTTTCTTACAGGTGATGGCATGAATGCTTACATGGCATACAGAGTAACAACAAAGGTGAGACTTTTGTTCCTTTAATAAAACACTGACCACTCAGTGTAGGTGTAGAGGATATGACAGTCTTTTAAGATGAAAGTGAACCTTTACAAAGACTACTGTCCCATAATGATCACCAACAAGTTGTTACAGTGAGTTGTGAGTGACTTGTGTTCTGTGGGAATATGCTGGAAGAGAGAATGTAGACCTACAGGTCAGGCAAGCCTTCCTGGAGAAAACAGTCTGAGCCAGACAAAGGTGAGGGGTGTGATTTGGGAAGGACGGGAAGAAGAGTGGAATACTTGTTCTAAGCAAAGGGATTTGCTTGTATAAAATGCAAAAGTCAGGAAAGTATGACTGAATTGTTGGCATAAGTCTCCATGTGTTATGAGCAGCCACATTAAGAAATTTGTTCGTCCCAAGTTTAGAGGAGAGCTATTAAAGAAGTTTAGACAAGAGTGTGACACCATTAGGTTTTTGCGTAGAAATACATCAGGTCTGTATGAATGGGGAGGGCCAAGCTAGAGGTCAGGATTGCATTAAGAGGCTACTACAATTATTACACCTTAAAACCCAGAGTCCGTTGCAGCAATCATTAGTTCAAGAAGTAATGTTTGATACTACTTCTCGAATGATTCTGGAAATGAGCAAAATAAATAGCTTTTTGAGTTGAATAAGAGGTTGAGTGAAAAGGACTCAAATATAAGGAAGAAGGAGATGTCTGAGTTACTATGTTAGAGGATGTATGATGGGGAGGAACACAGTGCGGATGGGGTGAGTGTTGTTAATTAATTAAATATTTATTTGTATCATGATGTCAGACTACTGCAAGCACTGGGGTATAGCAGTAAACAGGACGGACAAGTGTTCTTTTCTTATGTAACTCATGTTCAAGTTGAGGGAAATACAGTGAATTTGAGGTACCAACGAGATTAAAATGGACATGTCACTTGGGCATTTGGAAACATTGAACTGAAGCTCAAAAGGCAATCCAGGCCATAGGTAAGGATGTAAGAATCATAATTGTAAATATGGTAGAGTGTACGAGATGTTTCAAGGATAGAATAAAGCAAATTATTTTCTGCCCTCTTACATTTCTTTAAAAAAAAAGAAAAGCAAAAAACTGTGATTTAGAGTTTTTTAAAACTGTTAGAAATAATGTACACCACATTAGGTACTCTGCATTCTTTTGCAAAGTAGAGCAATGTGTACATAGACATATTCATAAGTATATGTCACATTAAGTTCTAAATAACTGCTAACTGCTGAAAAATTGAAATTCCTGTTCTTCACTTGCAGACTTCTCTTTCCATGTTCAGTAAGAGTGAATTTTCAGTTAAAAGAAGATTCAGTGACTTTCTTGGTTTGCATAGCAAATTAGCAAGCAAGTATTTACATGTTGGCTACATTGTGCCGCCAGCACCAGAGAAAAGTATAGTAGGTAAGCATGAGTGAGAAACAATTTTTGTTACTGTTACTACTTTAATTTTAACTGTATAGATTTGTGAATTCCAAAATAATTCACGGTCAATATCTTATAACAATACAGAACTTAAGTACTCCATTTATGATAATCATGCATTTAGTTGAAGAGTGTACTTCTAATACTTTTATTTCCTAATACGTGAGGATTTGGATGTTGAGTATTGAACTGAAATTTACCAAGTTGAAAGCAGTTGGAAACCATAACTTTTAGGATCAATAGAATACCACTTTACTGAATCCCACTCAAAGAATATGTAGTATTGCTAATATTTCCCAATGTAGTATTGCTGACATTTTCCCAAGAGCTAGAGTTGCTTGTCCCTTAGCTACATATTGTCCAAAAAGGTTTAATTTAGCCTTGCTCATATAAGAACTGTTTAAACTCATCTTAGTTGATTTCATATCTCAATTTAATGTTTAAAAACATTTCTACTTCCCCATTCTGGGCTACATAGCAAGTTACAGGCCAGTTTGGGCTATCTAGTGAGACCCTATCTCAAAAAAACAAAACAAAAATTCATTTCTACTTGCAGAAAATTACAAAAGAAGAGGAACTCCTCATTTATCCCACTGCTAAGATATCTGTCCTAAAATTTTGTAGTATTTTTCTAGTCTTGTGGTAAATCTTGTAGTGTTTTTCCTAATCTTTTTACTTAACTTATTTCACTTTTCAAGTCTTCATAAGGCTATTCTGAAAATATTTAAAATGAATTTTGCTAATCTTTTAATTATTTTTACTTTTTTAATACTCAGTTTGAAAGCGGTGTTACTTTCGTGTCATTTATAATTTTGAAAACTAACATTGAATTTGTTGTATGTCTTTTATTAATTTATGAATCTAATCAGGTGGTTCTTTTAGCTTTTTGATCTCAAGACTTTGTATTCGTGTGGGGGTGTGTGTGTGGTGTGGGAGGGGGTCGGGGAGGGTGGGGAGTGTTACTGAGGCGATCAAACTCAAGGCCTTAGGCTTGCTAGGCAAGTACTGTCCCACTAAGTCTATATTCTTAAATTTTATTATAGAGTCTAAAAGAGTTTTCGCTTATATAGGCTACATCTGTTGACAATTACTACATTTGAAAAGATGTTAAATTTTTATTCAAAGGCTGCTTATGTTTGTTTTTCATTTTACAAATTTGTAATTTCTGTCATAATAGAGGGTGGCTGCTGGGTATGGTAGCACACACCTGTAGTCCCAGCACTCAGGAGGCTGAGGCAGGAGGATCATGAGTTTGTAGGCAGCCTGGGCTACACAGTGAGACCCTCTCAAGAAACAAAAAAATCAAAACAGTATTCTTATATCTGCTTCTGCACTTAATTTGTTATGTGTAACATAGCAAGTAACCTTTATAAAACTTTACTCTGAACACTCATTAAAGAATGAGAGTTTTTAAAAAGACTAAGAATAGCTTACTGCTGTTATGAAGAGAGACTTTGCCTCCCCTCCCCCATGAATGGGTATCTCAAACTCTTCAGATTCTCTGAACTGAAATTTAACAACTGCTAGCCAGGTGTGGTGGCACACTCTACAATCCCAGCACTCAAGAAACTGAGGCGAAAGGATCACAAGTTCTAGACCAGTCTGGGTCACATAGTAAGACCCTGTCTTAAGAAAAAAGAAAAAAAATGCATTGAAAATGTTAATAAGCGTTAGCAGGTAAATGGTTTTGTTTCCCCTCATACAATGCTCCATAATGGTTACCTCCAGGAAGGAGCTTTTAGTGAAGATAGAAGATCACTCCACAACAGTGAGATCCCCCCAGGGAAATAGAATATGTGAAAAAAATTAACATCCCAGATCCAGCACATAAGATAGATAATTTTAGGTGTTTGAGTTTTCCTTTTCAAACCTGTATATTTTGTTAAACCAAATATTAATGGATAATCTGTTACTTACTTGCCAGATATACCAACCTGAAGAGGAATTGCATAGTTTTACATAATCTTTTTTTTTTTTTTTGGCTTCAGTAGTTATTCTTTGGTTACATAATCTTTTTTTTTTTTTTTTTTTTGGCTTCAGTAGTTATTCTTTGGATAGGTTCTCACATTTTGCTCACAGCTTGCCTTAGACTACAGTCCTCCTACTTAACGCTTCCCAAGTAGGAAAGGGGCACCACCATGCCCAGCCCCACATAACCTATCTTTAAAGACTATGAGATACAGCTAATTATATATGATTCATCCACTTAAAACTTACAAGCAGTGGCTTTTAGCATACTCAGAGTTATACATGCATTATTACAACCAGTTTTATTTGTATTCCCCCAAAAGGAGTCCAGTACCCCTTAGCCATCATGTGATTTCCTCTAATCCCCAGACCCCAGCCCTGGCAATCTCTAATTAACTTCTGTTCAGGACATTTCATATAAAGGAATCATGCACTATATGGTTCTTGAAGATAAGCTTCCACTTAGTATTATTTTTTTCAACATTCCACAGTGTTGTAGCATTATGTATCAATGCTTCATTTCCAAAGGATACTTTTTTTTTAAAGGAAAATGAACAGGAGAAAAGAGGAAAATCTGCAGCCTAACATTTTAGCATTAAAATTGAAATTGCCAGGGCAGAAATGGTTAACATAAGTTTTGTTTTTTGGTTTCTTTGTTCTTTTAGTGCTGGGTTTGACCCGAGAGCCTCATGCATGCTAAGCACATAGCCACTGAGCTATATCCCCAGCCTAATTAACATGCTTTTTATTTTAAAATTTGAAGTGTTTTAAATATTTATGAAAGAGCTTGTTCTTTCACATATTATAAAACCAGCTATTGGACTAGAAGTGTAGCTCAAGCAATAGAGCACCTGTTTTGCAAGTGTGAAGCTCTGAGTTCAAACCCCATTCTCCCAAAAAAAACAAAAACAGCTGCTTGCTGAGGATCACCTATAGTCCCAAGTGCTCAGGAGGCTGAGGCAGGAGGGTCACTTGAGCCTAGAAGTTAGTTTAAGGCCAGACCTGTCTCAAAACAAAAGCCAAAACAAACCAGCTATGACAAATAAGAACAGTGCTCTCAGAATCTGCATCAGGGAAAGCATTTAGCAAATTCACAAGCTATATTTATCTTTATTTTTGTCATCCTGAAAGTAAAGAGCCTTAATTATTATTCATAAGAAATGAAAATGTGGGCTGGTGATGTGGCTGAAGCGGTAGAGTAGCTATCTAGGAAGCCTGAGGCCCTAATTTCAAACCCCTGGACTACCTTCCCCTACCAAATGTTATTGAGCTTCAATTTAATGATTTAAATTTTCCATTGTGCACGTTGAATGTAAAAATGTTGGAGGCTTAATGATGCAGCTCAGTGCTAGAGCACTTGCCTAGCATGTGTGAGGCCTTGGGTTCTACCCAGACTGGGGGAAAAAGTATTCCTGAAATGTAAAAACATTTGAATTTACCAGGACTGTAAAATATAGCAGATAAAGAAACTTTGATGTTAACTGTTACATAAATAAGCAGTATGAGTCAAAAACTATGCACACAGCTCAATTCTTCTTTGTCTGTTCTCTGATGTTATAGGTATTTACTTACTAAGCAGAGATGTTAACACATGAGATTTAATTCCTCAAAATGGTTTGCATTTTAAGTAAGTTAATAGTTACAGACTTAGGAGATTTTTGTCAAGTTCAAATTCAAAGTATGTTTTAAATTAGGAAATGATTATAAAAGTCTGTTTCAAAATAATCTAAAATCATCATGAATCTCTTAATTTCTTCAAAGGTATGACCAAGGTCAAAGTAGGTAAAGAAGATTCATCATCCACTGAATTTGTAGAAAAACGGAGAGCAGCTCTGGAAAGGTAATTGTAGGTACTAATACTTTATCACTCTCATGCTTTTACTTCAGTAATGTAAATCTACTTCCATTAAATAGAACAACTGTGTTTTAATGATTAATTTTTATCAGAGTACCACTTCATAGCTCTCATGAGTGCCTTAAACCTTTATTTTAAAAATTGATTGTTTCAGCAACACCGTACTGTATTTGTTCTGTTTATCATGCTGGAAGCAGAAAAATAAAGTAAGTTAATTAAGGATAGAATTATACCATAGCTGCAGTCAGCACGAGCACTAAGAAACTGCCAGGCTTCTACAAGGAAAATGTGGAAATTGTAATTGCGGGGAAAGAGTTGATAAAAATGCTTGGAGAAGCCAGATGTGGTTGGTACATATCTGTAATTCCAGCATTTAGGAGGTTGAGGCAGGCAGGTCCCGAGTTTGAGGACAGCCTGGGCAACATAGTCAGACCCTGTCTCAAAAAAGAGTTTGGAAAGGCCTGGAGCTATAGCTCAGGAGTAGAGTGCTTACGGGTGGGGGGGGGTATGGATAAAAATTAGTCCACTTTGGTATTATTATTATTTCTTAGAAAGTTATGCCCTATACATGTACTAATTTTAAACATTAAGTATGCTTTTAAAAATGCAGTGTGTTCCCCCCTTTTATGTACTTGATTTTGACTTGATTGTATAGTGTAGTGTTACTCATTGCTTCAGTTCACTATATATTTAAAGACAGAGCTGGGAATGTAACTCAGTGTCAGGACACTTGCTGAGTATGCATGAGGTCCTGAGTTCCATCCCAAGCACTGCAAAAAATGATTGATTGAATGATTGATTGATTGATTGTAGCTAGGCATGGTGGCACACACCCAAAGTCCCATCACTCAGGAGGCTGAGACAGAAGGATAGGGAGTTTGAACCCAGTCTAGGCTGCATTGTGAGACCCTGTTTCAGAGAAAAAGAAAAAGACTAATAATATATGCTGTTTCTTTAGTATACATGAACTACACATTTCATATTGCTTTGAGAGGTATGCCTTCATTGTGGCAAACTGAAAGAGGAATGGACAGGAGGAACCCCTACTCCCAGAATCTTAACATTTATTCCTTCCTTGCATTGCTGAAAATATGAGAACGATCCTAGCTATTTGGGAGGCTAAGGTCAGAAGGATTGCGGTTCAAGGCCAGCCTGGGCAAATTGTTTTAGAAATCCCATCTCCAAAACAACCAGAGCAAAATGGACTGTAGGTACGGAAGAGTGTCTGCCTTTCCAGCACCTGCTTTGCGAACATGAAACCCTGAGTTCAGATCCCAGTACTGCCCCCCAAAAATGTGAGGAAACTATTGAAAAGGATAACTTGTAGAACATAATATGGTAATAACTTAGGCTTGAAACACTTGTTTGCTTTAAATTTTCTCTTGTCTAAAAATCTGTGTTTGGGCAGGTTTTAGGAGTGTATGTGTATGTATGTATACACACATATCTGCAGAGTGTAAATTCTTTTTAAAAACTCTTTAAGGAAACTTTCTGTTTTTTAATAGTAAATTGCTTATATTTTAAGAAAATGACACAATAAAGTCAGGTTTAAATAGTATGCAATAAGAAAAGCTGAAGAACATGCAGTTTACAATATTAGAGAAAATTAAAAGATGGGATTATATCCATGGAAACCCAGGAAGAGAATTTAAATTGCATCAAGAGAAGTTTGGGTGGGCATTAGAATTGATTGTGTTGCAAGAGAAATTATAGACAGAATATTTTTAAGCATAAAGGAACATAATGTTCTCCCTTCATTTCCTGAAAATGTAACCATGACCCTTTGAAAGACCTTTCAAGTCTTATTTTCCTATGAGTAAATTTGAAATGTTTTGGATGGCATGCTTGATAAGAAACTTAATGGAGATTTATTGTACCAAAGACATTCCATTTGATTCTGCATCTCCTTGTAACTCGACTTCATCGGCTAGTTCATGCCAAGCCTTCATGTAGAATGAAACACTACAGTTTCTTTACTGGTAAATGTTAACTTGCTAAATGCTACCTTAGTGGAATTAGCAATAGTAGGGGGCAAAAAAAGAACACTCTAATATGAGAGCAAAATTAATTTTTTTTTAACCAGAAAAAATGACTCGAAAATATAAGCATAAAGTTATAAAAGCAAAGGCACTGAAATGATTTCTTTAGTTTTCCTATCTTGTTTCTCCTACCCCAGTCAAACTTAGTCCTGTGTACATCTGTTTCTTAATGTGTATGAGGTTTTAAAGCTGCATTTTTTTTTTTTTTTACTCTTTCATATATTTGACTTTTCTTAGTGATTTCCTCATGGCATTCCTTAATTTAAACAGTAGAACTGGGCATATGGCTGGAATACCCAGCCTAGTTGGATCTAGTGAGCAGGGACATATTTAACCTGTTACTTTTTAACCGTAGCATACAAGAGCCACTAAAACCTCTTCCCTGGTGGGGCTTATACTTTGATACAAGAAAACAAATAATAAACATACAAACATAAATTATATAATATGTGACATAGTAGCAGTCCTGTGAAAAAAAGAAAGGACAGAACAATAGGGCATCTGGGACCAGGTGTATAAGATGTGGCTTGTGGAAATTTAAATAGATCAGAAGGAAGCCAGTGATCAGAAAACTTCACTGGAGTGTGGTGTTTGAGCCTTTAAACATGAAAGAGAAGTGGGAGTTAGTCATGAGTTTATCAGGGAACAAAGCATTCTAGGCAGAAAGCAGAAAAATGACTGGGGTATGATAGGTCAGTGTGGCCCAGAGCAGAGGGAATGATCAAAAGGGATAGGATGCCAGCCACATTAAAAAAAAAAAAAAAAAAAAAAAAGCAACTCCATCATGGGGCTTGTAGTCCATTACAAGGAACTTGACTTTCTGAATGAAATTAAGGTAATATGATCTGATTTTATGTATTAAAAGGATTATTCTAGTCCCTATATTAAAAAGGAGTATGGCTGAGGGCATGGCTCAAGTGGTAGAGTACTTGCCTGGCAAGCACAAGTCCGTGAGTTCAAACTAGTGTCACCATGCCAGAAAGTCAAAAGCCAAAAGAACTGCAAAAGATGGAAGCAGAGAAACTAATTGGGAGACTACTGCAACTTTTTAAGGCCTCTGGACTAGTAGTGTTTTGGCTGATGGGAAATAGTTTTACATTCCAGGCATCAGAAGCAAGCAATGGGATTTCCTGATGAATTAGATAATCCCAAACAGCTGCATGCCTCCAAATTCCTTGATATGAAAGAGTGAACTGGCTGGGCCTGTGGCTCATGCTTGTAATCCTAGCTGTTTGGGAGGCTGAGATTGGGTGGATCACAGTTTGAGGCCAGCCCAGGCAAATAGCTTTCAAGGTCCCATCTCCAAAATAACCAGAGCAAAATGGACTGGAGGCTTGGCTCAACCAGTAGAACACTTGCTTTGCAAGTGCATAGCCCTAAGTTCAAATCCTGGTCACACAAACAAGGTGTATATTAATTGTTTGGATCTTGCCAGTTGGGATTTAGGTGTCTGAAATGAACACAATCCTAATTAATTTATTTGTTCCTTAGAGATGAGGAAGAATACATTTAAGTAACTTCTCAAAGGTCACAGAGATAATATAATGCAGGCTTCTACTAAAAAGGGATTCTAAATCTTGTTCTCTATTTCCATGCTTCTCTAAATTTCTCAGTTTGTGGTTGCTAAAGTGTGTCTTTACCTATACACTTGATCTTAGCCAAAAGGCCAAGAAGCAGTTATCCTTACATATAAGATAAACTCACTTAAAAAGCTAAACATTGATCTACTATTTGATCCAGCGATACCACTCTTGGGGATATACCCAAAAGACTGTGACACAGGTTACTCCAGAGGCACCTGCACACCCATGTTTATTGCAGCACTAGTCATAATATCCAAGTTATGGAAACAGCCAAGATGCCCCACTACTGACAAGTGGATCAAGAAAATGTGGTATCTATACACAGTGGAATTTTATGCAGCCATGAAGAAGAACGAAATGTTATCATTCGCGGGTAAATGGATGGAATTAGAGAACATCATTCTGAGTGAGGTTAGCCTGGCCCAAAAGACCAAAAATCATATGTTCTCCCTCATATGTGGACGTTAGATCAAGGGCAAACACAGCAAGGGGATTGAACTTTGGTCACAAGATAAAACGAGAGCACACAAGGGAGATATGAGGATAGGTAAGACACCTAAAAAATTAGCATTTTGTTGCCCTCAATGCAGAGAAACTAAAGCAGATACCTTAAAAGCAACTGAGGCCAATAGGAGAAAGGGACCAGGAACTAGAGAAAAGGTTAGATCAAGAAGAATTAACCTAGAAGGTAACACACATGCACAGGAAATTAATGTGAGTCAACTCCCTGTATAGCTATCCTTATCTCAATTAGCAAAAACTCTTGGTCCTTCCTATTATTGCTTATACTCTGTCTTCAACAAAATTAGAGGTAAGGGCAAAATAGTTTCTGCCGGGTATTGAGGGGGTGGGGGGGAGAGGGAGGGGGCAGGGTGGCTAGTAAGGGAGGGGGTGGGGGCAGGGGGGAGAAATAACCCAAGCACTGTATGCACATATGAATAATAAAATAATTAAATAAATAAAATAAATTCACTATGATCCTAAGATAAGATACAAAGGATGCTCAAGAAAACCAAATGAGTTATCTTTTTTCTTTTCTTTTTTTTTTTTTTTTTTTTGCAGTGCTGGGGTTTGAACTCAGGGTCTCACAGTTGCTAGGCAGGTGCTGTACCATTTGAGCCGCAGCCCCAGATCCCCTTTTTTTAAAAAGTTTTTTTTACTTTTTATTGTTATTGTTATAATGATTGCTATAGCCTTCATTAACCTTAATTCTGAATTGGTGTGTGTTTATAAATGTTTATTGTTTTAAATCCAGTTCTTAATTTTATTATCATATAAGCCATATACTTTTTTTTTAGTTAGTTCTCTTTACTTCCACGTAACTCTTAAGAAGGAGGCGCTATGCCCCTTTGCATAGCCACCTGCCATTCTGTCTCTTCTCAATGGCATCCTAATAAATCGTTGGTTTCTCCTTAAAAAAAAAAAAAAGAAAAATTTTGCTGTCTTTTTCTAGAATGTTATTTTTCCAAAATTGATTCTTCACAAAGCTCATATGTACCAGGATACAAATAGGGATCTGTAGTCAACTGAGCTTTGTTAACGTAAGATTTTCACAAAGTTATACCAGGTTTATTTCTTGTAGGACTTGTCACAGCGCCAATATGAGTCTTAAAGAGAAGAATATGTATGTAACCATACTTCAAACTTTCTTGATCGTAAAATCAGTCTTTTTCATGGGGTATTGTATATAAGTAACATTACATATTCCCAAATAATGTTTGAAATATTTGAAATTTCCTAGAGTGTAAGTACTAGATATTTTGTCTTCCTGCTTGTTTATTTTACAAATATGTGAGTGCCTACTATTTGCCAGGACTGAAATTAACAACTTAAGCAAACTGCCTTCAGGTAGTATGAAGTCTAAGCAACTAAATAACTTCTCTGATAGTGTTGGGAGAACTTCATTGCTAAAATTATAAGTTAAATTCCAATGGGAAAATACAACATTTCTTAAGCTTATAAGATTGTTCTCACTGCATGTTTTGGCTCTGTAATATAGGCAGCAATTTTTTAAAACTGCATCATATATTGTACATATCTATTAAATGTTCTGTTTCCATTATAATGGCTTCTTATATGGATTGCTAACTTAAAATGGAGTATAATATGGATGTGTAATTTAAGTGTGTTAAAACAAAGTACCATTTAAACATCAGCAGTCATTATGACCATTGTGTAGAATGTGACTCTAGAAGTTGCTACTTTTTTTTCAGAAACTGTTACTTTTAGGCATATTTTATAATATTATAAAGAGAAGAAGAAATTACTGACTACATTCAGAATTTAGAATTTACATACAGATACTACTGACTTCTATTCTGGAGAAATGGAATAAATGTATTTTAACTGAAGTAAAAAATCATAATTGCAGTGTTATTGTATGTAGTCATTAATCTGGAGAAAGATAAGTTTTTAAAATAATGAGATTTGAGAAATAATTGAGAATCATCAAATAGTTGACCTTTTCCCCTTCTATGTGAGCAAAGGGCAGTGACTGAAGTTGGGCTAACAGTGGTATCAAAAAGTGTTTCTCCTGACTCTCATTTTTATGGGGCATCACATTTAGATAAGACATGTATCAAAATCAGCACATGCCTGCAATCCCAGAACTGGAAGGCTGAGATAGGAGGATGGCGAGTTCCAGGCCAGCCTGGGCTACATTAGTGAGACGCTGTCTCAAAAAAACCAAAAACTATTGAAGAAATTTAGTCCTCATCAAATAAGGATCAAAGCTGATTGTGACCAATTAAATCTGCGATCAAAACCTTTTATTCTTTTGCTGAAATACAACTTAAAACACAACTAATAAAGGACACTTTTACGCTTAAATCTAGGTATCTTCAAAGAACAGTAAAACATCCAGCTTTGCTGCAGGATCCTGACTTACGGCAGTTTTTGGAAAGTTCAGAGGTATTACTTCTACTTTAAATTTTTGTATATAAATTTTTTCATTTATATTTATTATAATTTATGTAAGATTAGATATTCTGTAAATCATTAGATTAATAGATGCACTAAAGCAATATATATATGCTTTTTCTTAGTGCTTTAATTACTTCACTAAATGACTAGCAGAGTATCTCCTTGGCTTTGACATTAATAGGGCAACCAGTCCCTTTCTGGAAAATGGTTTATAAATAGTCTCAGTTTCTTAGGCATCATGTTGAAATAAGTTTATTCAGGTTTCACTTTAGAGGAAGTTGAATGTATGCTGTGTGTCTAGATTCTGATACCCTTATTAAGTTTCAAAATGAAAATCTGTGACTTGAAGCAGCCTAAATTATAACCAAGCTGATCCCTATATTTGAGATGTTTGTCACATTTGGGGCTTTTATAAACAGTTGAGGGCTGGCAGAGTGTCTCAAGTGGTGAGAACACCTGCCTAGCAAGCGTAGCAAGTGTGAGGCCCTGAGTTCAAACCCCAGTACCACCAAAGAAAGAAAAAAGAATGAAAACAGTTGAGAGTTCTAATTGTTACTACTGGAGATTTTTTGTAAAATTTACTTGCATCTCAGAATTTTTTAAAAGTTCAAAACTATACAATCTTAACTCCAAGCTTAAGGAGATTTTTCTCAAGACCTTCTTTCCTTATAAGCAGTTATTTCTGCAAGCAAACAGGTGGCCAACGTTAGGGTGCTTGGCAATTTCCTAATATATTTTGACAGTGTTTGTTCCATCTAAATGTAAACGTGTAGAAGAAAAGCAAATGGAAAGTCTATTTTTTAAGTTTTCCTTTGAGAATGTACAAGTAGTGTATTTGAGAAATTAGATCTATTGAAATGTATGAGAGTGAAGAAAACACAAGCCCTTTTTTCGTTTTCTTTTTTTATTTAGGGAGAAGGTCTCTTTTGTGCCCAGTTTTAAAGCTCTAGGCTTTTAACCGGTTTGTTTGCCCTTATTTGTCATTCAATTCCAGCTGCCTAGAGCAGTTAACACGCAGGCTCTGAGTGGAGCAGGAATATTGAGGATGGTGAACAAGGCTGCCGACGCTGTCAACAAAATGACAATCAAGATGAATGAATCGGATGCAGTAAGAGCTGATTTTTCGACTTGAATAATGAGATGAATTAATGAGCCCAACAATTGCATTTTAAAGCTGTACAAGTAGAAAATAGGATATTAATTTGCTTATTGAGTTTAGTCCTCTGCCACATAATTTGACCACCATGGTTATACATGGTTAATTTGTTGCTTTAAAACAAGAAACGTAGCTCGCTATTGGTAACCTGATTTACAATCGTTTGTTCTTCCTAAATTAGCTCCATTTTTCATTTCTTTCTTAGTGGTTTGAAGAAAAGCAGCAGCAATTTGAGAATCTCGACCAACAACTTCGGAAACTTCATGCCAGTGTTGAAGCCTTGGTCTGTCATAGAAAAGGTTTGTTTGCCTTTTTATTTACGTGTTTAGCACCATAAAGCTAATCAAAATATTTAAGTTTTAATTAAACAAATACACTAACATTACAGAAGAAAGAAATCAATAGCTTAAGAGAATATTTTCTAGTTCAATTTTATTATTTAAAAACTCTTGGCTGGTGGAGTGGCTCAGGTTGTAGAGCGCTTGCCTAGCATGCATGAGACCCTGAGTTCAAACCCCAGTGCCACCAAAAACATCTGAATAAACAAAAATAGAAATTTTTGCTCTTGCTGTGTGCTAGTGGCTCAGGCCTGTCATCCTGGCTATTTGGAAGGCCGAGATGGAGGGGGTCAAGATTGGAGCCCTGAGTTCAAACACCAAAAACAAAACAACAACAAAAGAATTGTTCTATTTTTATCTAACTTTGAGTTTAGAAGTAGAAAGATGCTAACCTTATAAAACTATATTTGAATTTTGTATTAAAATTCTTAGTCATTTGGTTAGCTTTGTTTTAATGGATGAGGATGTCTTATTAATTACTAATTTAGATTATAATAATTTGAGATTCAAAAATTAGAATTTGCAAATTTTCTTTTAAATATTTGTATTGTGCCTTTATTTCCTAGCAAGGACTTTAAAGTATTTTAATCATTTTCAAACCCCAGTATTTAAAACTTTAGGGGGATTTATCCTAAGAATTCATAGGAAATTTGAGTTACAGGGCTTTTTATCCACAGTGAAGTTTTGGGTTTTTTTGAAGAAAATAAAACTCTTGATAACAGTTTTCCAAAATATTTAATAAGTAATTGAGTATGTGACATTGGCTATAATGCATTTTTTTAAGATAGTTAATAGAACGCTTCTAATGTATGCATTGTTTTGTCTTGTTATATTTGTAGTTTATCACAGCTTTCCCATATGTGCTATGTATCTCTTAGGGAATGGGCTTTATGGTTCTTTACAAAACCTTCAATAATGTAGAGCTGCTCAGCAGTTTCCCAGAAAACGTCATTGTTAATCCTCAGTGATGTCCAGCCTAGAAACACTTTGTTCTTTTTTTGAACTATCTATAGTGGTCATGTGGAAAACAATCTTGTTAGAAATTCTAATATTTTTCTGAGCATGTGATACAAAAAGAGAAAAAGATTTAAGATTGAAATAAATTGTGTATACAATTCAAACCCTCCCCCATTGACATTAAGAACTAGATGTCAGTTAGTGGTAGGACACTTGCCTAGCAAGTGCAAGCCTCTAAATTAAAAAAAAAAAAAAAAAAAAAGTCAAAAAATTGCCCACATTATTTTCAGTGACATGTTTAAAGGCCAAAGAATGTAGTACAAATTAATTGCAATCCTAATGCTTCTTAGCAGGAATTCATTTGTTTCTTTAAAAATGGACAGAGAAAGAATGAGCTCTTTGGGGAAAGGGAGGCAGAGCATTGTATTAAGTTATTTAAACGTGGCTCATCACCCAAGCAGTTGCATTTTCCCTAGTCCAGCAGTGATTCTTCCTGATTTTGACGCTTATGCCCAAAGCACTTTAATGATGGTTTCAGACTAATTTAAAGTATTATTTGAGGAATTCATGATTAGATAAATTTTAGAGTGTAGAAAGTCAACACAATGCTGGCAGAGTAGCTCAAGTGGTGCAGCACCTGCCTTGAAAGGGTGAGACCCTGAGTTCAAATCCCAGTACTGCCAAAAAAAAAAAAAAAAAGAAAGTCAACACAATATTTTAAAATTTTACTAGAGAAAACTAAAAGTAAATGCTGTTTCATTTCAGAACTTTCAGCCAACACAGCTGCCTTTGCTAAAAGTGCTGCCATGTTAGGCAATTCTGAGGACCATACTGCTTTATCTCGAGCCTTGTCGCAACTTGCAGAGGTAGAGGAGAAGATAGACCAGTTACATCAAGAACAAGCTTTTGCTGACTTTTACATGTTTTCAGAACTACTTAGTGACTACATTCGTCTCATTGCTGCAGTGAAAGTAAGCCCACTTTTGAAATCGTTCTTTCATTCTTTTCTCTACAGTGGTTTGCTCTAGAAAGAATTTGGTTTCCTACTGGACATGGATTTTAAATACTTATATTCTGTCTTATATAAAATGCCTTTAAGATGAGTACTTGGAACTTAATATTTTCTTCCCTTATGACTTAGGTAGTAAGTAAACAGAATGTTTTAAAGAGGCCTAAGGAATGCAAAAAGGAAGCATTATAAATTAACTTATTTATTCATATATACAAGCTTGCAACTATTTACATTTGTTTGCTCATTGTAACAGTAACTGAAACTATCTCCTGGACTCTCTTTATCATTAGTAAAGCTGGCTGTGTATTGAGAAACAGAATAAAACCAGAAATGATTGTTGGAATGAATGTGTTCTGTGGAGGCTTAAGCATTGGGACTGTAATCAAACTTTGTATATACAAATGTGTGGTTACCATGTATTTGTAGATGAAATGGACTAAATTAAATCATGGATTGTATTATTTGTATTATTTATAAATATAAATAATTTAATTTCTGGGTACTTTGGGAAAAATCCAGTTAAAAAATGAGTCCTCCACTATTTGACCTCTTAAACTGAACTGAGTGTTATTCAGTCTGTCATGTTTCAGAAGATTCTTCATGATGTGGGGGTATCTTTGAGTTATTGTTACAAACATTAGTCATCATAGGGAGGAGGAATTTATACATATAAGACTACAATTTACACGTATAAGACTAAATGAGACCTTCCTTGCTTCCTTAAGCAGACATTTTCAGCCCAAGTCTGTGATCAAATTGGTATCCATGCGTGCTGAGAACATTGATACACTGCCTATTTTCTGATGTTTTGCTTTCAAGTTGATGGTAGCAATTAGAGGACTAATAGCACTTCAGAATGGTGCTTTCTTAAAGGTGATAAATTACCACTTTTGCTTATATTTACTCTTTATGCTCTGGGGACTATTTTGTACTTTCAGTTATTTACAGATGTTACATGCTTTTCAGTGGTTGCATAGCATTCCATCATATAGACTGTAGATGTACCTTGAGTTATTTAACCAGTTCAGGCTTAAATAATGTTAAGGTTTTTTTGTTTTGTTTTGGCAGTACTGGGGTTTGAACTCAGGGCTTCAAGCTTGCTAAGCAAGGGCTCTACCACTTGAGCCACTACTAGCCCATTTTTGGGTTCGATATTTTTGAGATAAGATCTCTTGAACTATTTGCCCGGGATGGCTTCGAACCTCAGTCCTCCTGATCTCTGCCTCCTGAGTAGCTAGGATTACAGGTGTGAGCCACTGGCATTCAGCTGAAGAGTAGTTTTCTAACAATAAGTTTTTCATACTAGGAGTGCTAGAGGGAAGAATATACCACAAAAGTAGGAAGCTAGCCAGGTGCTGGTGGCTCACGCCTATAATCCTTACCTACTCAGGAGGCAGAGATCAGGAGGATCATGATTCAAAGCCAGCCCAGATAAATAGTTTTGCGAGACCCTATCTCAAAAAACCCTTCACAAAAATAGGGTGGCTCACAATGAAGACCCTGTGTTCAAGCCTCAGTACTGCAAAAAAAAAAAGTAGGAAGCTAAGAACATCAAGATCTGGAACCTAAAGAAAGATCTAGTTTTACTCATATCAAAATATTGGTAAATGAAACCCCCTTGTACAATTAATCTATGCTAAAGTTAATTTGTATCCTTAAGATTAATTTTTTCTAAAATAACCTGACTTTAATAATCTTATTTTATAAAGTTCCTGTATCTGTACAATAAACGTGTTGTGAGTACTATGAGCTAATAAATTGAATGGGAACCAAATAAGTTTAAAGTTAGGGTGTCAATGAGAAGCTGGTGTACAAATACTGAAATTAAAGGATTTTATTACCTTTTGTCCTACATTGCTACCTATTTTAAATAATCAAATTGTTATTAAATAGAGTTTATAAATGAAGAGTTTATGTGGTCCTGTTCTCCAAAAAAAAAAATTAGGCCTAAAGTCTTAAATTACCTTTTGATTTGGGTGTGTGTGTGAGTAAGATTGTCTTGGGCTGTTCATTCATTCATTCATTCATTCATTCATTTTGAGATAGGGTCTTGCTGTATAACCAAGGCTGGCCTCAAACTCATAGTGGAGCCCAGCTGGCCTTGAACTTATGATCCTCCTCAGCCTCTAAAATGCTGGGTTTACTTACAGATTTGCGCCACCACTCCTAGCTGTTTGTTTTAAATTGTAGTGGCTTTTTAAAATTTGTGATTGACATAATACTTTTGTGATTTGGGTCCAAATTAATTTGGCTAAAGTTTATTCTTAGTGAATTTATATATCTGTAGATGCAGTGCTTTGATTTGTCTAGGCTGTTATACTAATGAATTTAAAATATTTACAATCAGCCAGGCACCAGTAGCTCACACCTGTAATCCTAGCTATTCAGAAGTCAGAGACCAGGAATACCACCGTCTTAAGCCAGCCTGGACAAATAGTTCACGAGACCCCATCTTGAAAAAAACCCAACACAAAAACAGGGCTAGCAGAGTGTTTCAAGTGGTATAGCACCTGCCTAGCAAGCGTGAGGCCCTGCATTCAAACCCTAGTGCTACCAAAAAAAAATGTCTACAATCTTTAAGAACTCTTGGAAAAAAATACAAGTGGCCTTCCATAGTGGTAGGTGGGTTCCACATCTAAGTATTTAGGTAACCAAAGATAGCGTTTGGTGGGAAATAGCGCACGTGTACTGAACACTTGCAGACCTCTTTCCTTTCCTTGTTCACGCAAACCAATGCAATATAACAACTACATTTATATAACATTTGCATTTTATTGGGTGTTATAAGTAGTCTGGAGATGATTTTTTTGTTATTTTTTTCTCTTTTTAAATTTCTTAATAAATTTTATTATTTTTTAGAGATGATTTAAAGTATACAGGAATGGAAGTTCCATGCAAATACTGTCCCCTTTTATGTAAGAAATTGAGCATCCCTAGATTTTGCTATCTGCAGTGGTCCTGTAACAAATTCCTGTGACCACGAAGGGATGACCGCACTTTGGTTTCTAGTTGGTTAAATTTGTAAGTGGTATTGCCCACACTTTTAAAATTATACTGTATGATAAAAGTGCTGTCCATTTTTTTTTCGTTTTTACGTTTATATTCTTTGAACTTTTAGTAGAAGTCTAGAGTTAATCAACCATGTTTATGTGTATGTGTTACTTAGAAGGAATCCATAATTGTGTCTCCTAGTTACTAAATACATACTAGGTTAAGTCACCATGTTGTATACTTTTATGTTATTTATAATCCACAAACGTAGATGTCATTACCCCCACCCTTTAAATTTTGGAGAATGTACCCAGGGCCATGCAGTGCAAAGCTGATGTTCAGACCCATATTTGATTGTTTCAGATCCTACTATTTTGTGTTCATTTTATTTGTTTCTCTTGTGCTGGGTGTCAAACCCAGGGCCTCTCAAGACTTGCTAGAGAAGTGATGTACCAGAGCTGTGCTTACAACTCCTAAAGCCCACTGTTTTTCTTGTTTTGTTTTGCTTTTTGAATTTACTACATATTTTTCTCATAAGCGCATATATTTATTTACTGTTTCTTGGTTTACATTTTTTTTATTGGGAATAAACTGAAATAACTGCATTAATACTTCTGGTACACCTAATTTATTAATGATTCCTTTGTTCAATTAGTAAATACTAATATATAACATATATATTAGTATTATATATATTAGTGTGTGTGTGTGTGTATGTATATATATATATATTCTATTCCAAATACAAAACTAACAAAAAGAATTCATAATGGTCTCTCTCATCCTATCCATCAGTTTTCTCCTGAGACTTCTAAGTACTCTCATCATACATCCGTATTTCATCTCTGTCTTTCATTCACTTGTTTTTGCTCTGCCAAACCCCATGAAAGCAGTTCTGGATTTGGCTGGATTGTTCTGTTAATCTCTCTCTGTTGCTTTTCTTCATTGAGTTCTGCACATAGATATGTAAATATCTAGGACCATCTTCCCCCATTTGATTAGGCCCTACTTTTAGTTGCTTTGCCTTTTTTTTATTAAAAACTATTAGAATCTCTTCTACCATGCTTTTACTTTGTTTACTATTATCTGAATTTTTCCCATTTTATTTTTCAATTTCTGACGTTTCTAATGCTTAAATCTGCTTTTGATGTTTTTTAGTAGCAAAACTTCAGTGTAGCTATAACACCTATTTTTAGAATGTATTTTCCTATTAAATACATTATTTTTCAAAACATAAAACTCTGTTATAAATCTTATTATAAACTACATTTTAAACTCTAAAGGCTAATGAAATGGATTTTGTGTTTAGCTTTTTTTATCCTGAGCTCTTATTTTTCATCCAGTGACAGTTTTTTGGTTTCAGCAATTGCTAGGAGATTTATTTTTGGTATTTTTATGCTTACAGCATTTAAATGCATGTCTTTCTTTCAGTGTTTCAGTAGTGGTAGTATAATGAAAGTAGTGTTACTCTGGGGGTGGGGAACAGGGGGAGAAATGACCCAAACAATGTATGCACATGTAAATAAATGAGTAATTTATAAAAAATAAAGATTAGAAGAAAAAAAAAAAGAAAGTAGTGTTACTCAGTAGCATGTGTCATTCACTTCCAGGGTGTGTTTGACCATCGAATGAAGTGCTGGCAGAAATGGGAAGATGCTCAAATTACTTTGCTCAAGAAACGTGAAACAGAGGCAAAAATGATGGTTGCCAACAAGCCAGACAAAATACAGCAAGCTAAAAATGAAATAAGAGAGGTGATTACTAAGTGCTTTATTTTGTTACTCAGATTTTTCATGTTACTCATACATGCATAATTTTTCATAATTTGTTCTGGACCATTTAACACTTAGCCATTTCGCCACATGCTTATGGGCGGGGTTAGAATGACTGACATTGGTCATCATTAACATCTCCATAAGATCACAGGGATGGGGAAAGACACATGCAAGGAAGCAATCCAGAGTTAACTGTACATGCTGACTAGACATTTCTTTTCAAAATGTAATTTGATTTCAGATGATGACTCATTCTGTGTCTAAAAATGGCTTTAGAGGTGGGTCTATCCCACATGTAGTTGTCCAGGCAACATTATCCCCATATATATGCATTATATATGGTATTTTAACAAATTTGTATAAGGTTATTATAATTTATACACTTTTTTTACCATGCTTCAATAAGGAAATTGAAGAGGTAGGACAACCTTTATATTACTAAACATGAATGTGCCTGCTCTTTGAAGAGTAGGGACCAGTGTTTTGCTTACATACTGGGAAAATATCATTTCATTGCTTAAACTTTTGTTTTATTTTAGCTGTTTCATTGGTCACTAATCACGACATTTTGTCCTTTTTGTACTGAATTTAGTGCTTATTGAGGGGTCTTCAGTAGACCATAATTCCACTTTTTTTTAATCTAGCTATTTTACCATTACAAAAGTGTTTTTTAAATGTTTGTCATATGATTTTCTTATTTTGAACAATTTCCATGGATATATAAATTATGATGAATGTGTATTCTTGAAATTAAAATTGTTGACATAGAAAATTAGAAGATTGTACTGTAAGACAGCTAATTTTTTGGTAGTGTTTTTTTTTGTTTTTTTGGTGTTATAGGGGTTCAAACTCAGGGCTTCACACTTGCTAGGCAGGTGCTCTACCACCAGCCCTATTTGTTAGTGAACTTTATGCTAAAAATCTTTTCTCTAAGTCACGCCTAGTTAATGTATGGGCATTATAGGATTTTTTGGTTTGTTTGTTTAAGGACAGTCTCCTTATGTAGCCCATGCTGATCTTGAATTCAAGATTCGCCTGCCTGAGCCTCCCCGCTGAGATTACAAGTGTGCACCACGCCTGGCAGGGTGTTGTGGTGCACTAAATGTTAGCACATTCTCATCTTGAGGGAGTCTGGCAGTGAAATACTAATGGAAATTACGCTAATGTTATTTCATAACTTGAAAGTGAAAATACCTTTGAATGATGCTATATTGAGTTTTGGCAATATTAGGCATTCTTTTTAAGTTAAATGATTGATCCTGACAGCTAACACTGTAACTGTTTCTTCCAAACAAATATGAAGTATTTGTTCTTTTGTTTGTTTTTATTAGTGGGAGGCAAAAGTACAGCAAGGAGAAAGAGATTTCGAACAGATCTCTAAAACAATTCGAAAAGAAGTGGGAAGATTTGAGGCATGTATAATAGTTTTGCACTTTTCTTAATAATGTCACATTTTGCTAAAATTTTATGGTAAAATTAAATTTAGTTTTCTACTGGTTGACTTTTTCATGTATTGTACTTCATTTAACAGAAAGAACGAGTGAAGGATTTTAAAAGTGTTATCATCAAGTACTTGGAGTCATTAGTACAAACACAGCAACAAGTAAGCTAACTTTTTGATAACTTCTAGAAGTTGTTTTTGGTGTACTTGTTCATTTTAAAGAAGATGGTTAATGAAATAGACTTTTAAGCTCCAGCAAGAATAAGAAGTAGAATAGAGAAAACAGTGACAATAATGGAAAACTTTCTCAGTTACAATTTGCTTCTTCTAACCAATACACAGAGACATACTTTTCCCAATGTTAGGCTATAAAAAACCTGCTAGGCAACTTTCCCTTTCTCTTTCTGCCTAGGTTTTTATTTTATTTGTTTGGTGATACTGGGGATTGAGTTCAGGACCTTGTGCTTGCTGGCAGGCACTGTACTGCTTGAGCCATGCCTCCTTCCCTGTTTGTTTTGTTTTCAAGACAAGATCTCATCATGTACCCCAGGCTGGCCTCGGCGTGCATAGCACAGCACAGCACAGCACAGCAGCTCAGGTGAAGAGGGCAGCGCTAATGAGAAAGGTGTTGCCTTCCAGAGACACCCAGTGCAGCTTGCACCCTACACAGGACAAGGCCACCCTAGACTGTTGTGATTGTTTTATTTTGTTTGGGGTTTTTAGTGTTCAGTGCTACAGTGTCATTTGTTTCCTTAACGAGAGAAAACTGTGGTTTTAATGATAAATTCAATAAGTTTATTTAAAAAGATACTATGAGGGATATATGCATTAAAATGACAAAAAGTAATGAGAATATATTTTTACTGTCATTCACAGCTGATAAAATACTGGGAGGCATTCCTACCCGAAGCCAAAGCCATTGCCTAGCAATGAGATTATTCCTGCCAAGAAGACATGGGACATTTGTTCCAGTTATGCTGAATGCTAAAGTGAAACCATTGAAACCATCTAAATAAACCACAATATATTTTATGAACTACATGTGGTTTTTTACATATATATATATATATATATAAATGAATATGTGTATATATGTATATGTATGTGTATATACATATATATACATATATATATTCTGACATTTTATTACAGGCTGCATGTCCTGACCCTCTTGGAATTAAGTGGACTGTGGCATGATATTCTGCAGTATTTTGCTGAATTGAACACTATTGTGTCTTAAATACTTGCACTGAAGAGTGCACTGCAAGGCCAGAAAATTTTATGATTTTCTTTATAGTATAATATGTTTACCCTCTTTATGAAGTGAATTATCAATGAATTGATTAATGTTCACTTATACATTCTTGTACAGAAATTATGATTTTGTGATTACAGTAATAAAATGATATTCGTTGTGAGGTACTAGTAGCAAATTATTTGAGTATGTAAACTTTTGGGAACTTTTTAATAGGAAGACTTTTTTTCTCAATGTATTACAATTAATATTGTGACTCCTTAAATATTTTAATTGACAGAAAAATAATGAACTCGTCTCATTAAATGATTAAATGATGCTTTAAGTTTTCTCATGAAATCGTCACAAATTAAAGACAATTTATGTCTTGGCCATCTTCAGTAAAGAAGAAAATGATTGTCTTTGCTTATTTTTAACCATCCCAATGACCAATTTAAGATTATGAAAAAAATGCATTTATGTGCTTCTCTTACAAGTCCCATGGATTTTTGCCCATCTTCTATTGTCTTCAAATCCAAGACTTTGCATATATTCAATTTATTCCTTGCCTTTTCTTTGTCTTTTATTTTTAAAGGTACATTGGTCATATGGACCCAAAATGCTCAAATACACCAGGATTTGATGAATAACCAAGAACAGTACAAACAAATTTGAAGTAAAATGAAATTTACTTCACCTTTGGCCACCTTATTGTCCTTTTTGTCTCTATTTAGATGGCTATTACCCAGTCCTTAATGCTGACAAAAGTTTAAATTATGATTAGTAGCATACTTATTTTGTTTTAAAGTATTCTTAAAAATACTTGGCTAAAAGATGCCCCACCACTGATGAATGGATTGAGAAAATGTGGTATCTATACACAATGGAATTTTATGCAGCCATGAAGAAGAACGAAATGTTATCATTCGCTGGTAAATGGATGGAATTGGAGAATATCATTCTGAGTGAGGTTAGCCTGGCCCAAAAGACCAAAAATCGTATGTTCTCCCTCATATGCAGACATTAGATCAAGGGCAAACACAACAAGGGGATTGGACCTTGATCACATGATAAAAGCGAGAGCACACAAGGGAGATATGAGGATAGGTAAGACACCTAAAAAATTAGCTAGCATTTGTTGCCCTCAACGCAGAGAAACTAAAGCAGATACCTTAAAAGCAATTGAGGCCAATAGGAGAAGGGGACCAGGAACTAGAGAAAAGGTTAGATAAAAAAGAATTAACCTAGAAGGCAACACACACGCACAGGAAATTAATGTGAGTCAACTCCCTGTATAGCTATCCTTATCTCAACTAGCAAAAACCCTTGTTCCTTCCTATTATTGCTTATACTCTCTCTTCAACAAAATTAGAGATAAGGGCAAAATAGTTTCTGCCGGGTATTGAGGGTGGGGTGGAGAGGGAGGGGGCGGAGTGGGTGGTAAGGGAGGGGGTGGGGGCAGGGAGGAGAAATGACCCAAGCATTGTATGCACATATGTATAATAATAAAAAAAAAAGAAACTTGGCTGAGCCAGGCGCTGGTAGCTCACACCTGTAATCGTAGCCACTCAGGAGGCAAAGATCAGGAGGATCGGGGTTCAAAGCCAACCCAGGCAAATAGTTCACAAGACCCTATCTCAAAAATACCCAACACAAAAAAGGGCTGGTTGAGTGGCTCAAGCTGTAAGCCCTGAATTCAAACCCAGGTGCTGCAAAAAGAAAAAAAATAGTTGGCTGTTTTTTCTGGAGCAAAGTATGCATGCCTGTAGTACCAGCACTCAGGAGGCCTGGGAGTACAAGGCCAGCCTAGGTTATGTAGCCAGGCTATCTCCAAAAAAAGGAAAAAATCCCTTTTCCTGAGCTTAATGAAGAAATCCCCTCTAGTGGCTTACTGGATACAGTGACTATCTCTGTCTTTAGTATGTGTTCTGGTTGAAATGTCAAAACTACTGTAGATGTTATTCACGTTTATACTCAGAGAACTTAGCAGGATGCCTGACACATACTAAGTTAGTAATAAAGACTTAATTGAATGGGAAACTCAGAGGATGCAAAATAATGTTGCACTTCCAAGAAACCAAAGCAGAAGAATACAATCTTTTATTGTTGATTCTGCTGGAAAAAATACCTTTGAGAAATGAGTAATTGATAGTAATGCGGGTCAGATGTTGTCTTGTTATCACATTGATATTAAGGAAAATACAGGCTTACCAGGAATAGTTTCACTGCAGTGATCTGCTAGTATGACATTCATGGCTGTGTTAATGCCAGAGATACAGTTCACACCTGGTGTAATAACTTATTCAGGCCAAAATCTTCAGTCAACTGTATTACATTCACTAGAATATTTGGTACCTCCAAATAAACATTTTCAGTCTAAATGGAGCTGAAGTAACCCAACCATGATTCCATCCCAGACTGCATTCCCCTGTTGGAAATTTTCAAGTAAATTACATGAGCTTCTGATATCTGCCAACATTTTAATTATTTGAAAACCCATCAGCCCTCATGTCTCCTGTGTATATTTCTAAAATGTTTTATTGCAAATAAACAAGAGCTAATCTTTTAGTATTTAAATTTAAAGGTTTCTTTTGGTGGAAGTGGGATTTGAACTCAGGGCTCTGTGCTTACAAAGCAAGCACTCTACGCCTGGCAAGCATGCCTGGCTGAGACTGGTAAACATTTTAACTGAAATGGAGAATCTAAGCTTGGTTTAAAAGCCTAGTGTGAGCTGGGTGTCGCCGATCACGTCTGTAATCCCAGCGAGGAGGAGGTAGATACAGGAGAGCTGAAGTTCGACACCAGCCTGTCCAGAATGTTAGCGAGACCCCCATCTCAAAAGACAAGATTGGCTGGGCATGCCAGCCCATGCCTGTAACCCGAGCTACCTAGGAGGCTGAGACTGAGAGGATTGTGGTTCCAGGCCAGCCTGCGCAAATAGTTCGTGAGACCCATCTCCAAAATAACCAAAGCAACATGGACTGGAGGTATGGCTCAAGTGATAAAGCACCTCCTTTGAAAACTGAAACCCTCAGTTCAAACCCCAGATTCTTCTGTAATTGAGACATGAAGCCAAATGCTTTTATTTTCAGTTACATTACTTAGGTATTATAATTTTCCTAAGCTTGAATTGGTGCTATTTCTGAAGTCTCTGCTGTTTTCTCTCCCACCATCAAGATCTCCTGACTTTACCAGAATGATCTTGTCTCCTATGACACTTTTTTTTTTGGTGAGACTGGGATTTGAACCCAGGGCTTCATGCTTGCAAAGCAGGTACTTTATCACTTGAGCCACCTTCAGTCCACTTTGCCCCAGCTATTTTGGAGATGGGGCTGCGGAACTTTGGCCAGGCTGACCTTGAATCACAATCCTGATCACAGCCTCCCAAGTTATGATTATAATCCCAAGCTATGATTATAGGTGTGAGCCACTGGCACCCAGCTGTAATACTATGCTTTTTTTCTTTTTTCTTTTTCTTTTTTTTTTTTTTCAGTGCTAGGGTTTGAACTGAGGGCCTATACCGTAAGCCACTCCACCAGCCCTTTTCTATGATGGTTTTTTGAGATAGGGTCTCACAAACTATTTGCCCAGGCTGGCTTCCAACCACAATCCTCCTTGATCTATATCTCCTGAGTAATCAGGATTATAGGTGTGAGTCACTGGCACCTGGCTTGAAATACTTAATTGTATTTTTAATTGTCCCTCTCTGCTCTGCCAGTCCAACTGCCCTGCTGCTAGGCTGGTCTTCCCAAAGAAGGAGTCTAGTGCCAAGTACAGGTATGAGGTAGCTCATACCTGTAAATCATAGCGACTCAGGAGGCAGCGATCAGGAGGATCGTAGTTTGAAGCTAGTCCAGGGAAATAGTTCTCCAGACCTTATCTCCAAAATACCCAACACAAAAAAATGGGCTGGTGGAGTGGCTCAAGAGATAGAGCGCCTGCCTAGCATGTGTGCAGCTCTGAGTCCAAGCCCAATACCATCAAAAAAAAGAAAAGAAAACAGCCCTTGTTACTGTATGGTGCACAGCAATCTTCAGTAGAGTCCAGTAATCTACAGACCAGGGGCTCCAGAGCCCCTCTGAGTCACTTTCCTTGCCAGGGCCATTTGCCTCCCCCTTCACTCAACCATTTGCTTTGGTAGGATCAAGCCTGTCTTGTGAACTTGCTCTCTCTGTTCCTGGTTCACTGTCTTGGTTGATTATACCTAATGAACTATTAGCTCTCTCCACTTTAACAACAGTTGTTTAATCTCATCATTTAAACTTTCGGACCAAATTTAAAAGTACACATCTTAAAATGAATCTTTTGAGTGCCCTAACAAGAAAGAAGGAAGGCAGGAAGGGATCTCTTGATCGCTAAATAGGACTGTACTATATATAACACTCTGTTCTTTTTAGATTGCACTTATGGAGGTTCTTTTGCATGAGAGTTGTGTGGCCTGACTGTCATAGCCAGTCTTTCCTGAGAGCAACGAAGCCCTTGTTGTGTCTTATAGAACCTAGTGTGTTACAGCCCAAACAGTGTAATTGGGCAATTAAGAACCAGTTTATGCATGCAGCCCACCTGTTGAATCTCAGGATCTACAATACTGACCTTGAACAAGTTCTCTCTCTCTAAACCTTAGTTTTCTTATCCAGAAAATGGAAACTGCTTCTTAACTGATAGGAGTTTCTTAGCAATAGCAAGTGCTTAATAAATTAGCTATTATACATGCAATAAAACTTAGCACTTGACATAATCTAAGCATTATTTCACCAATCTTTAGGGCTTCTTCCAAATGATGGATAGGTTTGTGCTTGATTAGGGCCAAGATGAGCTTACCAAAATGCTTCCTTCCCAGAGATCTATTCTGGGTGCTGTGGGGCCCAGGATCAGAGGAAGGAAAGAAGACAGTCAAAATGAGTTTATAGACAGCCAAGAGAAGCTTAGAAATATCCCACACACAGCACAACAGATACCCCACATTAAAGGAGTGTTGTCAGAAAGTGATAGTGTCCTTTGTAGAAGCCTAGAGGAAGGGTGAGAAAAATGAGGTAATTACTTAGGAAAAGAGACATTTACTTTCCATGCTAACTCATGAGAGATGG